TTTTCCATCGTTTTATGACAAGTTGGACGCCATTTTGTAAGCACAGGTAGCCCAATTTTCAAACACAGGAAGCCCAGTTTTTCTAAGGTTGACTTCGATAGGCAGCTTTGTCTTTACCGAGCACGAAGTTCTTAACTTTTTCTTTTAATTTGATTTGTCTTTATTTTAATGATGTTTGACTTCCATATGTTTCAAAGAGATTCCGTTGATTCCGTTGATTCCGTTGATTCCGTTGATTCCGTTGATTCCGTTGATTCCGTTGATTCCGTTGATTCCGTGAATTCGATGTACCGGTACAGCTGTACGTTTTTAAAAAGGGTGCGTTCTCAATAGAGGAATTGCTGTTTCTAACAGACAATTTAGATGTTGTCGACAGCTTGTGGGATTGAAACAAGGTGATTGGCTCACTTCAATATTCTGCTCTCTCTCGATTGGCTTCAGTTTTCACTCATGATTGGTTAGCTTTCTAAGAGTTGTTGTGGTCAATGCCTGGAAGATTTAGCTGCACATAAAAATGACATCAATTTTTTTTATCGTCTTCGTATAAATACTGCCATGCCGAATATAAGTGCTAAGATTGTCACAAGATAAATATCCCAGTCTTGTCCAAACTGCTTGTTCAAGTCAATTCTGTTCCAGAAATCGTAATTCTGTAATCAAAGCACAAATATATAAGAGATTTTATGTCCCCAAAGAGAAAGATTCTACTGTTTTCCCCTCATACATGGCTGCTATGAAACCCATTGTAATAGCATCATATACTACAACTACCAGAATCCCTTTCACACTTTCTTTTGTTTAGTTCATTAGCACAAATAGGACACTTGCATTTTATGATCATTTACTAAACCTACCAGAATCCCTTTCACACTTTCTTTTGTTTAGTTATTTTTTAGCACCAGTTGTCTTACTTCTCTTACCTCTCGTGCCCATTCCCAGAAAAAAAGAACGCCCAGTTTCAGCAGAGCAAGTGCAACAGGAGCCTGGGCATCAGGATTGGTTTGTGCAGCCATGTCGTAAAAGCGTTTGGCTAGATGAATATCCTATAGAATAAAGAAATATGAATATCCTATAGAATAAAGAAATATGAATATCCTATAGAATAAAGAAAAATTACTCAAGGAAATGTCAAGCAAGATAGTATAAGAATTTTGCTTCTTATTTACTTAGAATCTCATGGGGTCTTGAATGGGAAAACATGCCTTAATTTGAAAGTTTTCAGTAAAGAAAGAAATAATACTCAAAGGAATGGTTACAAATAGGAAAAATAATTGGAACTTAGCCAAATGCGAAGCACTTAAGACTGACCTGTCTCATTCCCAATCCCCTCTCATGCATATAACCCAAGTTGAACATGGCCTGGGCACTATGTTGTTGTTCAGAGGCCAATCTGTAATGGAAGGCAGCCATCTCATAGTCTACTTCCGTGCCGTAACCATAGTAATGGTAATCACCGACCTTAACTCTTGCCTGGGTGTTACCTACAATAAAAATATGGAAATTTCAATCACTGACTCAGAAATGGTGTAATAACATCTACTGGCAGTTAGGCCTCAATTTTTTAGTCCTATTTCGAGGGGGGGAGGGTTCAGGAGGTTGCTAACCCAACCAACCAACCCCTCCTCAGTAAGGATTTTGTTCATCCCCTAACAATTATGATACCAAAAGTCAAAATCACTGACTTTAGTGAGCTACTTCAAGGTTAATAACCATTCAAAAAATCCTGAATGTCTTGTAAATAATATATTATATATCTTTGGCTTACCTTGTATTGCAGCTCTAGTCCAATAAAGCAAGGCACGGGAGTTTGTTTCAGATTTGTTCAATATAGAAGACAATCCTTCAAACATAAAGTAGTTTTAGTTAAAGATCATGGTGAGCCTTTTGAGTAGAAAAAAAAGTTCTCACGAGAGTTTGTTTGAGACGCATTCTGTATGCTTGAAACCGTGTGCTCTCATTGAGAACCCGCCCCCACCTATCAGAAAACGAGATTTACAACAGTTATTTTATAAAAGTAATATATACCATGGTCAAAGATGTAAGCCACATTACTCTGTGCCACCTCATTTCCCAGTTCAATCAGAAAACAAGATTTATAACAGTTATTATAAAAGTAATATATACCATGGTCAAGGATGTAAGCCACATTACTCTGCGCCACCTCATATCCCAGTTCAGCCAGCATAGCGTACTTCAAGAGAGCTGTATCAACCTGTCCTTGTTTGTATGCCTCATGCGCTTCCATTAGTAACTTGGCTGTACGGCCACGCTCTGCTACATTTTTAAAAAGCTAACAATGGAGGAAAAAAATTACAATCCTGGCATAAATTGTGATACATGATGATGGATGTGCTTGTTAAGAAATTGTAGTTTGAGACATTTTATGATAATAATAATGATGATGATGCATGATGATGTATGATGATGTATGATGATGACTGATGATGATGATGCATGATGATGATGTATGATGATGATGTATGATGATGACTGATGATGATGATGACTGATGATGATGATGACTGATGATGACTGATGATGATGATGATGCATGATGAAGTATAATGATGATGCATGATGATAAAGATGCACGATGTATGATGATGATAATGATGATGATGTATGATGATGACTGATGATGATGATGACTGATGATGATGATGCATGATGAAGTATAATGATGATGCATGAAGATAAAGATGCACGATGTATGATGATGATAATGATGATGATGCATGGTGATGATGATACTTTATTCAAATAATACATCAAAAAAATACACGACTAATATTTGAAAAGGTGAAACTTGAGGTTAGCCCTATAAACAACTTTACTGAAGTTGCTATGTAGACGATGGTGCAGGCATGGCAAGGTAGGAGGTAGCACCCCAAAATATCAGTTTTCCCAATAAACCATGACCGCGGACCAGCACAGGTAAACTGGTCATGTCATAAAGTACATGATTACTAAACAGTACATTACCTCTGTAGCTGTGTGACAAGACCGCATGACACCTGTGCCAGAGGCGTGCATTACAGCAAGGTTATAGAAAGCCAACACATGACCTGAACACGAGAAAACAAAATCAGTACATGTATATACGATGACTTATGATTTTATATAGCACTCTTTTCCAAGGGGGGTTGACTGTACCTTGCAATAATACCACAGGTAACCCATAAAAGGCAGAAAAATGGTAAAAATATGTCATCTCAAATTGATGTAAAATAAAATTGAGTGCTTCAAGTAAAATGAGTGAGAGTTTATCAGTTGTTGTTTTTTCAGTTAAACGCATTTTGTTTCATGGGGTGGGGGGTGACTAGTGACCATGCACCCCTGAATCTGCCCTTCCAAGCCACCTTAGGCCTGCTCTCTGCAAAATAATTCTCTGGTAGAAACTTCATTAAGGGTTCAGTGAATTGGCTGAAGATTTAAGTGTTGTTTTACCTGACTGAGAAGCGAGATTGAAGAACTTGATGGCCATTTTGTAGTCTCTCCTAACACCAAGACCATCTGTAAGAAAAAAGGAATAGCAAGACTGATAAGAGTGACAGAAGTGACAGAGAAGGAAGAAAATAAAGAAAAATTGGAAGACAAAGTGGCAAGCAGCAAATGAAAGAAACACATAATAACTTAGATTTTTATTTTTAACACACATTAAAACCCTTGCCCTAAAGAAGAGACCTATCAAACTCTATGACACATGAGAACCCAGTCTTCCCTGTGTTACATTCAAACCTCCTTAGAATCCCTCTTTCAATTGGCTACAACTTTTAAACAAAAATTCAATGACCCGAGAGGCGAGAGATAAGTGCAATACCACTGCATCACCCTTCATAACCCAACCACTTATGAAGGAATGATTTTTTGAATCAAAAACTAAAGTCAGACCATTACCAATACCATTGTAAGACTATGATAGATGAGGCTGTAAGCCGTGTGGGATGGCTCGGAAATCGTATAAGAACATGTGTAATAGGTAAATTACGAGCCTTATATGGAATGACTGAAGATGAGGGCCAATGGGCCTTTCACAACTTCAAGTCGCGTAAAAAATGAGCCAGTTCAACTAGAAACTAGCTGTCCATCGCTTCTAGTTGAGCTGGTTCATTTTACACAACTTGAAGTTGTAAAAGGCCCATTGGCCCTCATCTTCAGTCGTTTCATGCGCATGTTCTTATTGTAAGATTATGACGGTGTACTTACGGTAGTACATGGTTCCTATCTGGAGATGTCCATCCACCCAACCTTGTTCAGCAGCCATCTTAAAATAYTGAAAAGCTTTCTCATAATTCTGGACAAAAAAATACACAAATAATGAATAACCTTTTCATGGTGAATGGGGAAAAATGAATATGAATGTGCAAATTGTTACCCAAATATTCTGGGATAGCGTCATGTACACTGTAAGTAGTGATTTGGTGGGATGGCAGAATCCATTCTCTTTTCCACAATGTAAAATGAACCCCCCCCCCCCCCAAGGAGTTATTATAGCTCATTTCACATTGTTCCAAATGTGCTTTACATTACAATCAGAGCTGGACTTTACAAGCTACATATTAATTAAAGAATTATTAGAGTACAAACACTAAAAGTGTGCAACACTTTGCACTATTTAGTAGTAAAGAGTGCTAATTAAACAAGAGAAAACAATAGGATTAGCATAATTTAGCTCTACTATTTAGTGGTATTTATGTTACACACTTATAGTATTTGTACTCTATCACCAATGCAGCTTATGATTTAAGATGAATTGCTAGCATAGTAGTTGCATTTTTTTTGTAAAATTTCAGAATAGAATCAATAGTTATTCATAATAAAATAAAAATCATAGGATAACAGCTGCAAATTCGGCGTAAAAAAAACGTCTATGTTCCGTACGATCCAGCCAACCGATGTCCAGTCCATTCCAGCTATGTACGGTTCCTGATTTTCCAAATTTAAAAAACACTCAAAATTCGCACATTTAGAAGAGGAAAACAAGTTTTAGAAGTTGAGCATGTTTTTGCTATACATTAAGGTTATCCATGGCCATTCAAAAGGTGAAAATTCAAAACTTTTTTTGTGATTCAAGATCCAGTCACTGACTGAGGCCCAATCACTTACAATCCATTTCAGTCAAATCCAAATAATATCCAATTTATCTTAATACCATCTAAATGGAGGAAAATTAATCGTAAAGATCTGTGACGATCCACAGAGTCACCTATAGACACATGATGTATACAGTCCTTTGAAAGACCTTTGTCGTTGACTGGCTTCACAGGACTTCAACCAGCGCACGACCCAAAACATATTTTTTTTAAATTTTGCATATTTTTTTTTTGTTGTTGCAAAACTTCGAAATAGAATCGCTAGTCATTTATAATAAAATAAAAACCATTGGATAAAAGCTGCAAATTCGGCGTAAAAAAACAATGCCTTCAAATTAGGATAGCATACAGGGTTGAACCGGGAAACAAATAATTCAACAGGTTCTTTGCCTATTTTAAGTTTTATTGGAGTTGATTTGGATTTTATTACCTTTTCTACACCTCTACCCAACATGTACATCAGTCCAAGACCACTCTGACCAATTGGATTCCCCTGAAAACAACAACAACAACAACAACAACAATCAAGCATTTCAATGGTGATTTGAAAAAGCCTTTAGTCAAGGGAGCTAGAGAGACCCAACCAAATCCTCTCACATGAGATGAAACAGTTTCACCTACGCATTGTTTTTCATCTACTGAAGTTGGCCTACACCATCATTTTGCCTACTGATACTCACGAGACAGCAAGACCAGGAATTGAACCCAAGACCCCAGAGATGTGAGGCGAGTGTACTACCAACGAGACAGCAAGACCAGGAATTGAACCCAAGACCCCAGAGATGTGAGGCGAGTGTACTACCAACGAGACAGCAAGACCAGGAATTGAACCCAAGACCCCAGAGGTGAGGTGAGTGTACTACCCTAGAGACAGCAAGACCAGGAATTGAACCCAAGAACCCAGAGGCGTGAGGTGAGTGTACTATCACTACACTATATTATTATTATTATTATTATTATTATTATTATTATTTACACCATCCTTGATTTCCACCCTTGATCAATAAATTGGGTAATTATTAATAGGTATGATTATTATACAAAGCATCACTTGCTCCTACCTTGTCTGCAGCCTTTTTAAACCACTTGAATGCTGTCTCGTTGTCTTGCTTGATATCATGACCCCCCTCTGAATACATCTGGAAGTGAAATGAAATGGAAAATGAATAAACCGAAAAACTAATTCATACTATATTCCCTTTTGGACCCCATAGCATTGCCAAAACAAAATAAAATGAAATGAAAAACAAAACAATCTTTATTCCCAATTCAGACCAATGTGAAATTTTATTGAGAATAAGATCATTTAGATCATATTAATATTATTATAAACATATCTTCTCAAGTAAACAAAGAAATGATCCTCAAGGGAATGACGAGTGGGCTGAGAGATTTTTTTCTATTTCCTTTACAGATTCTTGATTTTTGGTGTTTTTTCCTCTATGGATTTGTGGTATTTAACACCCCTCCCCCAGGTTCCCCTTCTGTAATAATAATAATAAAAAATATAATAAAACAGCCAGACAATAACCAACTATTACCTTGCCAAGAAAAGCCATAGCATTAGAGTTCCCAGCATCTGCAGCTTGTTGAAAATACCTGTGTGCTCTCTGTCCAAGTAACACGGAATTATCATTACTATTATCATACTAAATACAGGATTACAATTACCATACAAACTAACTAATCAGTACAAATAAAGCATAACAAAAGGAGCAGGCATAGCTCAGTTGGTTAGTGTGCGACCTTCAAAGCTTGAGGTCCATGGTTCGATACTTAAGATCTCCACATGTGTTTCAACTTCTCTCTAATCTGTGTAGCTTCAGCTTCAAATACTCTTAAACAGAGCACTGATGGAGAGAGGGGGTAAAGTGCCTACTGTCGGCTTCATTTGATAGCAGTTGAATTTCAACTGAAGGAACTACCGAGGTTAAATATAGGTTACTACTTTATCTTTACCTTTAGATGCATGTTTTTTGTGCTATTTCATGTATATATGGTTTGCACTCTTAGCTAATGAAAGATTCAATTTTAGAGAAAACTAGTGGAAACCACTTGATATGCATGCATGCATATCTGCATGGTCTCTAAAAGTTTCACGACTCAGTAGAGAGAAAATATATGTTAGTCTTCGGAAGTAAAGACTTATAGCGTGACGTGCAAAAGTGTGATCACATTTAAAGTATTCGCATACTTCAATGGATGGGCTTCTTTTAATACATTGTGTGGTTCCAGAAATCATCCATACCCACCCCACCCCACTGAGGAATTTGGAATTTCCAAAGAGTAAGGGGGTCAGAGAAAGAACAAAAATTACAGAGTTTGTATGGAAGAAAATTTGAATTTCCGGACGGTAGGGGGGTGTCTTAAAAAAATTCTTCCATGTGGGAGGAGGGGGGGTATGGATAATTTTTCGAACTACACATTTCATGGTTTGCACTCAGACTTAGCTAATGAAAGATTCAAGTTTAGGGAAAACTAGTGGAAACCACTGCATACTTCTATGGATGGGCTTCTTTTAATACATTACCTCATGGTCAACTTCCACTCCTCGTCCTCCCTGAAAATGCAGCTGACCCAAGCCAACCTAAAAATAACAGTTGGTTTTATTTGAATGATTTTATTACCGCTGTTTGCATTACTACACAGCCACCCCAGACACAAATCACGTCATGTAGTTTGCAATAGACTGCCGTCAATCAAACGTCACCTCATTCTACTTGGATGTGCTCAAACTCTTTGCAATCGCTTTCAGGATTTTACTCTGACTGAGAAAGTTTGATAGAAAAGCCAACTCACTGATCCAAATGTGTATAAATGGCGTCAACATGAATGATTGACGGCAGTCTATTGCGAACTACACGACTCGATTTGTGTCTAGGGTGGCCGCGTAGTAATGCAAACGACGGTAAGGAATGAATGGTAGATCTACCCTTAATAGAAAAATGCATATTTATCCTCTTTCCCATTTAATGCATAAGTGCTGATTTTGATGACCACAGACTCATTTATCCATATAAATATATATGCACTCTATACATTACAAATGACTTTTAGGAATGATTTGCTCTTGAACAAGGCTAAACTTGTAAACAAGTCTGTAATGGTGTAACTACTGATTGGAAAAAAAGTTATCTCTACACATTCTGTACATGAAAAAAAAAAGGATTTTAACCAGGGCCCAGTTGTAGGAAGCCTGGATAGTGCTATCTGATGGATAAATCCTTATCCAGTGGATAAATTTATTAGATAACAGCATCAATTTATCCACTGGATCAGGATTTATCCTACGGATAGCACTATCCACCCTTCGTACAAAGGGCCCTGAACATTCTGAAATCCTACCTGGGCTTGAACATCACCTTTGTCTGCCAGGAATTGATAGTATTGAATCAAATCATCATCAAGCACTGCATTATTTCCTCCCTAATAAACAGACAGTAAACATTCAAAATTGAAATATATTCGAAACTAAACTAGAGACCTCCGATAACACCCTCAAAGCACAGGAGAGAACCAACAAGCAACTCTACTCACATGAAGCAGTACATTAGCAGTTTACATGACATGGGGCATTCTCGTAGAACAGCATGCAGTGTATTAGCACCCTCTCCCTCTCTCAAGTCAATTTTTTGGAAATTACCTATGACTACAGCATTGAGAGGAAGTTTGTATCTTATTTTGTATGCATACTAGAAAGAATTGTTGGATCACTACATTTGTAGTATTTCACTTCATATTGAAAAGTCTAGCATTTGTTCAGTGAGCATGAAATTGTATAAAATCTGTTGTTTGTTAGGTTCCCTTAGGTCTCTAGGGCTTGTAGGCCAAATACCTGTTCATCTTCATCTATTAGTCTTATTCTCTGTACGGCTGGACCACCAGTCAATGATACATCCTCAGCAACTGTGATAAAGAATAAATAAATGGGATTGAATGGGATGACTGAAGGAAGGAAGGAAGACTAGTGGGATGGCAGGAATGAATGAGTGGGTGGATCAATGGATGGGATGGATGGATGGATGGGTGGGTAGGTAGGTGGATGGATGCATAGATGGATGGATGGATGGATGGATGAATGGATGGATGGATGGATGGATGGTAAGAATGCATGGATGGATGGATGGATGAGATGGAGGCAGGTTTTAATGGGACGGATGGGTGGGTAAATGGATGGACAAATCAATGGATAAATGGATGGATTGTTGGGATAAATGGAAGGACTTTGAATACCTTTGTTGGAGACCTTCCTATAATAAGTAAGTGCTGTTTCACAAGCTGATTGAACACCAACTCCAGACCAGTAGCGATATGCCTTTAACATAACAACAAAATTAAAAGTAAGCATACTTGATCAAGAAGATTTTTGATACCATTAAAATGGTTAATATTTTTTCTGTTCACTTTTTTCTTCTCCATTTAAGTTCTGTGAGATGGTTCTATTGTCCATGATCCATATTATTATGCCCATCTTTTGTCACTGTCTGTCTATCAGTCTGTTCATCAGTCTTGCCAGTATCTGTCTCTCTCATAGGTGTCTGTCTGTCCAAGGGCAGTTATTAACCAATACTTACCAGAGCCATTTGTGCTTTAACGTCTCCACCTAATGCCGCAAACATGTAGTAGACCAAGGCTTTGGCTTGACTAGAGTTGACATGTACACCAGCTGCATACATGAAGCCAAGACCCTACAACAATTTTTTTTTTGAATTAATTAATAAGTCATTGAATTCAACCTTTTGGTAAAACCTCTGTCCTGGTTGAGAACCTGGACAATTCCAAGAGGTAGGGATTGAAATAAATGTAAATCCTGAATGTTTAGACTAGAATAGAGTAGAGTAGATATGTTGGTTTGTTTATTTAATTTATTAGAAGTTGTGAATAAATTGCATCATAATTTTCAACATCTTCTACTCCTTCCTTCCTTCCTTCCTTCCTT